TTTTGGTTTTTTTTATTTATTTCGTTTTAATTCATCAATTTTTTATTTAATAATATTTTGTTTCAACTTTAGTACCAATTTTTTTATTTGAATTATTACCTATTTAATATCAATAACATCTCACATGCATCACAAATGTACTTACATAGCACATATATATGTATTTACAACAATAACACACACGGCAGCAATTACAACTGATTTTTTTTATTTCACGACGCCGTCATTACAAAGAAAATAAAACGCAGCGCGACGTAGCCTAAAGTGTTCGTGTGGGTGAGTGCATACCTGTGTGTGTCATTTACACACTTGTCGACTTCGAATTCGAAACCCATGGTGGGGGCAATGAGCTCCATTCAACCATGTCGCTGGCTGCTCTCCAATGGTTGGTTGGCGACCGCAACATGTTGGCAAGCGAACAAAACACAACATTGAGGGGGCAATTGTGTGCAGAAGGGGGCGGTGGCAAAGTTTTATGACAACAGAGAGCGCATGCAGCCGCTTCTAGCGTGGAGAGGTGTTCATGCCGCTTTTTGGCGCTTTGGTCTATGTCAATGCAATATTGCGCAACATTTTACGAATTGCAACATGTTGCCGAAACATTGAAATCAATATTGGTGTGGAATTGTGTTAAGGTTAACATGTTATGTTTCCAGCCTTCAGCATTAACCGTAAATAATTTTCGTTAAGCCAGCTGAAACCGAAAAATATAGGAAGGTGAAAATGATTCTCGTTTACTAACGCTGCTGAAGGCATTCAAAGCCGGCCGAGAGCCTTGTGAGAAAATACCATATTGCTAACAAAGAGTCTACTTAAATTATGATTTAAGTTAAGGTTTTATAAGATCCGAAATGAAATCAGTTCCCACGTCGTGTTGTATGTTCCTTAGTACCAAATCCACTACCTGAGTTAGTGCTATGGAGTTTCATTGCTCTAAAGTTAGTTGGCGATGAACTCGTTTGTACAAGAAACTATAAAACAGGCGATAGGAATGGTGTACATAAATCCAAGACTCTTTCCACGAAAATTAAGTGTTCTCTTTTACGTTTTTAAGGGTTAAACTGTTAACATTCTGCAACTTGTTGCATTTAAAACTTGCGCTACCATGCTAACAACGTATCCTAGCAACGCGCAAAAAGGATGTGTGGTAAACAAACATTTTTCAAGCCACAACAAACCAGTAAGAGCTCTGAAGTGAATGGTTGAAGAATTTTGCGAAAACTTGCGAGTTTAATTGGAAATAAGAGGAAAACAATGTCGTTCAAGGATGTGCGCGGTAAGTGAAGTATTTGATAGAAGTTTTAGAATTTTTCCGACCTTCTTCTATACACAGACCTCGCTGAGCACCTCAAACTACTTGGCTATCCGCATGCATTCCCACTACAGGCACTCGCCAATAATTTCGGAAGCCTCGCCTCATTCCATGTGGTCGCCGAGGTGTTGCAATGGTTCGCGAGTCTGCTTGAGCCCGGTGCTGTGCTCGCTGGAAGCGTGGATACCGAAAACGACCGCGTGCTGCTCATACGCTCCGCTACTGAGTTTTTCGTAACCAAATCAGCCATCAAGCTGAATCCGCGCAAACTGTATGCCTCCACCGCAGTTACTGCGGCAGAGCTGCAGAAAATCACGCGTCTGCTGATAGCCCCACGTCAGTCGGCGGAGGACAAGGATGAGGAGGAGAACTACCGCAGTCTCAATCAGGTCGATATCGGCGATAAAATGGATGATCTGCGGCGCGCACGCGAACTCTCTGCGGACTTAACGCAACGCGGTGCAACGCTACAAGACCTGCTCGCCAAAGAGATGCTGCATAGAGAAGCACGCCTGGCACAGGCCAATCGTCCGATGGAATTGTCTTCGGCTGAGCGCACGCTGAAGAATGCCATTGCAGCCGCACAGCTGAAACTACAATCCAGCCGCGCACAGCTGGAGAATGCACGCGTGGAAATGAATGCGCTCTCTTCGAAGCTGCAACGCAAACGCGCCGAGCTGGAACGCACTAAACAGCGCTTAGAAGCATTGCAGAAAATACGACCCGCGCACATGCAGGAGTTCGAGGAATGTGAGAAGGAGCTGCAGGCATTGTTCCAAAAATACTTCTTGCGTCTGCATGTGCGCGATGCCTTGCGTGCACAGTACGAGGCACGCACCAAGCGTAGCACCCCGGTGGCCTCGCCGCTACTTCAGAAACCGCAAGAATCATCAATGCCCTTTATACCAGAGGGTTTGATAGAGGACGATGATGATAATAACGGCGAAGAGGAGCTTGATGGCAGCGGCGTGCTGCGCCGCGCCAATTTTGGACTTGATGCTGAGATTCCGGACATCCGCGATGAGGATATGATGTTGCGCAACAGAAAATCTTATAACGAGTTTATGGATGAGACGACGCGCCGCATGAGCAAGCGACCGGGGACGGCGACTTCCCGAAATGGTCGCCCGATAACAGGACGTGCGCGACGGCCAACAGGCGTCAATCAGGGTGATCGCGCCATAATTGATGATGGAGGCTCGGCTGACGTAGGTCCGTTGGGGAACACGCTAAGTAATCGTGCCGCTTTGGGCGGTGAGGATGACGATGATGAGAGCTCATTCGGAAGTTCTGATAGTGAGTTGGGCATGGGTGATCTACTCAACATGGGGCGAGGACCGCCCCCAAGCGGTCTTTTGAGCAACCTCAATGCTGAGTTGGGGAACTTTGTCGACGATGATTGTAAGTGAAATGTGGAAAAGAGTTCTCAAGCGATACATATACCTGTGTTATAATTTTTAGTTGATCTCAATTCGATGGACGATATAAGCATCTCGAAGATCACCGGTGAGCTACCAATGCGTCCAAAGACGGCAAGCAAGCCCGAACACCACAGTGACGAGGACTTCTAGAATGCAACGTGCAGTGTGCAGATGGCCTGGAGATTTTACAGACGACTTCTTGGTGTTTTTCTTATCCGTATACATGCATACATTTATTTTTATATCAATATTTGAAACCTACATTTATTGTACAACATACAAAATGTGCGGCTTGCCTGCGTGCAAAGCTACATCGTCGAATAAACTAAATAATAAGTTTATAATATAAAGTTATTTACAATAGCAAATATGAAATAAGACATACATATAATACAGTTATAAAGTTAGGTATGTATTATTGTTCATTTAACGGTTCCCCGGATCAATGCAGTATAATCCATTAGAATGACTCGACTCGACTCCAAACCACACCGCTTAATTTCTCATCAGCGCAAGCTGCCACACGACTACATCACCACATCGCGGCAAACGATTTTCGTTTTGGACGATGAGCGCGAACGTTGCTTGCCATATGTCTCGCTGGCCGTCGTCGACGAAGACGAGTAGTCCACATGACTGCCCGGCTGGCTGTTGGTCTGCTCTTGGCGCGCCAAGAAATTGTCTGCTATGTCGCGATCAAGCCCTGTATACTGAAAAGCTTCATTGTCGATGACATCGGCTTCAGACTTGCGTCGCTGACGGCGATTGGCGTCCATTTTACCAGCACGTAGTGGTGGTGGTCCAGGACGCCGACGTCGGTTCGGTGGCCCAGCCGATTTGTTGCTCTTTTGTGTGCGATATGTACCACTGAGTGCAGAGCCAGTGGGTGCGTACACTACGGAGCCTGGACGCATGTATGGCAGCGTGTAGGCCATGGGCGCGCGATAAGGGATGCCAGGTACGACCATGGCGCCCGACATTGGCGGCACAGGTGGAGGTGTGGCCAACATCTGGGAAAAAGATATAAAAGTTATATTTTGCAATTCGCGTTATTGCAAATAAATTGCTAAAATAAGTTCGTAAATAAAAGAAGAAAAAATAGCTTACGGTCGTGCTACCAGCCGGAATCAACATGATTGGTCGATTGCCGCCCGTTTGTGCCAAGTTACGTGAGCTGCCCATCTGTGCTGCGTACATCCACATGGCTGCCAATTTTTCGGCGTTTTCCTGACATTTAAATTTTTTTATTATTTTCATTGTTTTGGAAAAAGTATTTTATAAAAAAATCTATCTTTTACCTTTTCACTACCAGTTAGGGACATAGCTTTAATATATTGATCCACTTTCTCTTGATCCAATACAACACTTCCAGTATTTGAGTTAATAATAACATCTCGCAAATCTGTACTTTCATTTCTGAAACACAAGCAAAAAAATTATAAAAATAAAATAAATAAATAATATTGTTATAAATATTTTTTTTTTAACTAAATTGAATATTTAATATTTTTACATTAAAAACAAAGTAAATTGTATAAAAGAAATCGTTAAGTTTATACGAAATTGAATAAAAATGTAGTTTAGAAAAAAATATAAGGAACTATTTTATTTGCTTATATTTAAGAAGTTGCCTTCCACTGTTATCGATAATAATCGATATCTAACATTAACCATTTTACTATAACTCTGATTGAACTGTTCATTTATATAAAAGTCAAGCGAAAACCTTATCGAATCAAATAAAACATCAAACGAGTTTTCAGAACAACTAGTTAAGTGCAGAACCAAATTTTCAGTACAAAACGAAAGTTCCTTTTGTCAAAAAAGCATTGTTGTGGAACTTTTAGAAGCTTGTCGCGAAAGCTCTACATTTGACATTTCATTTAGCGATTGCAATTTGACGTTTTCCATTGTCAACGAAAAATAAAAGAGCTGAAAGCACGAATTATTCAGAGAAGTGAAAAATCGCACAAGCAGAAAAAGCAAGTGGGCCAGGAAGAAAACACTAATTTTTATAGTAAATTTCTTTTCAACGTATCCATTTATAAAAATCTACAAACTATTCTGCTGTGTCCGTTGCTGCGAAAGTGATTTGGAAATCTATAGTGCTTTATTGATTACTGCGAGTGCTGACGAAAAACAAACACGGACGTGGTGGCAGCGGTTGCAGTGGCAGTGGTTGGCTGGCTGGCGCACAGCGAAAAGTGGACAATACAATACAGTGGCAAAGTCACGAGCAGTGTAAAAGGTGGCGAGAACAAAAACACGCATTGAGCTACCAAGGAAACGGGTGTGCGACGGAAGAAGCGCATTGTACACATCAAGTTACATTGTTAGCATAAGCAGCCAACAAAGGAATTAGTTGATTTTTTTCTATCGGCTTCGCGATCTTTTGCAGTAATTTGGAGACACAATTACGTTGACGTGTGCAAGTGCTCCGTAAGCAAAAGCAATATTGCTTGTAAGCAACATATAGCTTGCTGCCGAGTATTTGTTGTTATTTTACACATCATTTAGCAGCTGTCAGCGAGCTAAAATTGTGCGGTAAACATTCTGTGAATAAATTTCTTGCTGCCGCACTTGGCAGAAACGCGCAAAGATGTCAAACATGTTTAGCATAACTAATATTAAAAACCGATTTATTTCGGTTATCGCACCAGATATACCGCCGCTGCCATCGACACACAGCCATCAGCTGCATCGCGGTAACATCAGCGGCACTCCATCAAATTACCAGTTGCGTATGGCACATCAACAGAAAAAACCAGACAAATTCGCCTATGCGCGGCCACCATTTTTGCAACTCTTGACCATCGACGAATTGCGTGCCTCAGCTGATCACAATGTGCGCCCCATAATTGTACCCCGTGACATCACTTTGCTGCCGTGGGGCACTGGATATGCCGAGTGCGTTAATTCCGGAAAATCAGAGTGGAACGAAGATCAGGCTGCATTCGCCAGGCAAGTGCAAATTCATAAATTACATCCAAAAACTAAATATGGCAACACAAGTCAAACAATCTTATCGCTGTTGTTACAACCTAAAATTGTTCAGCTCTTCAACAGTGCTGACTCAACGCTTATCAGTTTGTTTTGCTTGCCTAATTCCATGTAGTGTCTGTGATTTATTCAAAGGAAAAGCAACAAAAGCGATAAGCTGAACCAATTTTCATTGTTATTTGAGCTAATTGTTTATGTTTTATGCAAATAGGCAAGTGCTGTCGGATCCCACACACTCTCACCCGGACTTACCATATACATACTATGGTATTTTTGATGGGCATGCAGGGTATGGTGCCGCTTTGGCTGCCTCCCATCAATTCCATCATATTTTACACGAGAAACTGGTAGATTGCTTAGAATTGCTGCTTCCTCGTGATGAAGACGCCGCTAATTCGAAACAAGATAGTAGCTTTCCCCATCCCAGTCATTTCCAGCGACGCGTATCAAAGGATGAGCTCATCATCGGCGCACTGGAGAGCGCCTTCTTCAACATGGACGCGCTCATTGCACAGGATCGTGATCGATATCGTGATGCGGGTGGTTGCACCGCTTGCGTTGCATTATTCATCAATGGCAAATTGTTTGTAGCAAATGCTGGCGACAGTCGTGCCGTGCTTAGCCAACGCAAAAGTAAGTCCATTGAAAAGAACAAGGCAACAACTGGTGCAATTACAAATGCTGACAATGGCACGGGCGCCCAAGAAGTATTTGCGGTGCCATTCTCGTTCGATCACACCCCAGAGACAGAGCGCCAACGGTTGCTCACTGTAGCGCGCTTGAAGCCACATCTGATGGAAAAACAGTACGCTGCCATGGAGTACGCCAAACGGCCACATATGAAGGATTTGGGCCAGCGCATACTCTGCCGTCAAGGTACCATGAAAGGTTGGACGTACAAGACGTTGACGCGCGACGACTTGCGCATGCCTGTTGTGAGTGCTTATTACTATTTAACTTTCTGCAATTTTCTAACCTCTTTTATCGTGTTGCACAGGTGACAGGCGAAGGCAAGCGTAGCCGATTGCTGGGCACACTGGGCGTAACGCGCGGATTTGGCGACCACGATCTCTTAGCCATCAACACAGGCACCCAAATCAAACCATTTCTCACACCCCATCCGGAAGTGGTCATACGCGATCTTTCCAAAATTGTCAGCATTCCAGGTGAGCGCCCTACATGGAACTACTCGTATAAACTCTTTTACGTTATTACTTTCTCAATTTGCAGATGAAAATAACGAGGATGGCGACTATGGTATACTAGTAATGGCCACCGATGGTCTTTGGGATGTGTCCGAGAACGACGCCGTCGCACGCACCGTTTTCCAAACACTCGACAAATATCCCACGGAGAAGCACCGCTACACAATGGTGGCACAGGAGCTGGTGGCTCGAGCGCGTGGCAAAATAAACGACTCAGGACATTGGCGATTGGCCGACAGCAAAGCCGCCGCAACAGTCGATGATATTTCAGTAATTGTGATTCCCGTCTATCAGTATTACAAAGAACACGTCGAGTGGGAGAAGAGATGCGCACAAGTGCTGCAGGAGCGACGGGCTAAGGTCACACAAAGTGCCACCGAAGCGTGCGAGGATGAGTCCCTGCTGGTAAATGGTGTCACAAAGGCGCTGGTGGAAGTAGAGCATGACGATGCAGAGGAAGAGGAGGAGGTAGTCGTCGAAGTGAATAGACAACAAGCACAAGCCACCGTCGAGTTGGAGGCGGATGCGTCTCAAAAAGCAGAGTGTAGCGACCAGACAGACCCGCTCAGTGCACACCAATCGGCTGAGAAGGATGTCAAGGATTTAATAGAGCATGAATTGAGCGCAGCCATGTCAGCTCTAGACGCCACTGAGAGTGCAGTGGATGATAAAAAAGAGGCAAAAGGTAAGTGAGATTCCATGCCAATAGTCTATAATCCCAGATTTTTGTCTTTTAAAGGCGTTGTATAAGAGCACGTGGCGCTTGCCGACGCGCTGAAGAGGCTCAAATATCCCATTGCAAGTGGAGATAATTAGTTGATTATCTATCAAAATTGAACAACTGTTACACTCCCGTATCTCTCTCTCTCTATCTGCTATTACAGAATCGTCTGTTACCACGCCAGAGAAGACGTATAAAGCACAGCAGCCGCAGCAGCAACAACAACACCAAC